AGAGAGAGAGAGAGAGAGAGAGAGAGAGAGAGAGAGAGAGAGAGAGAGATTAGATAGATGATAAAGGAAGGAAGGAATAGAAATATTGAATCACATAGAAAAGAATGAAACCGATGGAATATTCCAATATTGAGAGAATGAAAGGGACTGACTCAATGGAGAAGAAATGAAAAAAGGAGAATTGAAAGAAGGAGAGAATCAAAAGGGATGGAATTTCAAAATAATAAAAGAAGGAAGCAATACAATTCAGATAGAACAGAAATCCAAACTTCTATGACTGAATCATTTCAGAAAGCTGCTCAGAAGCAGAGACAGTTCTTCACAGACTTCAGAGTCATTTCCTCTCACTGTGTCTCATGCACAGTAATAGATAGCTGTCTCTTCTGGTTTCAAATTGTTCATTTGCAGATACACCTGAGTGCAAGAATCATCCCTAGACATGGTGAAGCATCCCTTGAATTTATCTGGGTAGTAAATAGAAGGAAGCAAACCTGTAGTTATGCGGGCTATCCATTCCAGGCCTTTTCCTTGATACTAATCTCAACCAATTCATCCAGAACATATCGAGGTTGAAACCAGAGGTTTGGCATAAGAGACCGAGGGAACCTCCAGGTCTTATCACATCTCCTCCAGACTCCACCAACTGGACATCAGATTGGACCCCTAAAATGAAAGAAGTTTCAGTGAACTCTCTCCTTATAGATAAGAATTAAAATGAAAGAAGCTGAATATACACTACCTCTGAGGAGAGCAAGTAAGAACAAGTTTTGCTACAGGATCATTTTTACTTCCTTTAATGAATGGAGGGAAATTGATAGAAAAAGTTTTTTTTATTATTATATTTTAGCCGTATAATAAATAAAGAGATGGAAAAGGTTTCAGGAAAGGGATCGAATCTTGTGTCGCCTGAAAAAGGGAAATCTTGTGGTTCCTTTAAAGGGAAAATTGTGTCCTGATTTACATATTGCTTGGTTAAAAGAGACCCTCAGGGATGTCACTTTTAAAGATTTCTTTCCACAGACTTTACATGTGTAAAGTCAAAATTAGGATTGGGGTTGTCAAATGACGACCCCAATCCTAAGAAAACTGATACTTTGTTTTTGTTTTCTTATGAGTAGAGAAGAGAAAGAACTGGCCTACTTTAGAGTCAGTAAAACAAAGACTTTAACAGTTCCACCCCTTCTCAAATAAATTTATAATGAATATCTATGAAGATGCTCAGTTATCTAGGACATAGTTGTATCAAAAGTGGATTTCCTTTTTTAAAAGGCAGCTGGAGTGATTTTCTGAGGAAAAACAAAGGTGTTTCACTTCCAATCCTAGAAACTTCCTCAGTTGTATTGGATGCTGTGGGAGATGGAAGGACAGTTATTGACAGTTGAGATTAATTGGTGGGAGGAGGAGCGATAGGTTCTGATTGGATGATGACGCTGGTGTGTGTGTGTGTGTGGCAAGATTGTCTTTGTAGTCAACTGGTCTTAACATTCTCCGAGAGCCATTGTGGTTACCTGGGTTTTATCTGTGAGCTCAGATCACCTTGAATTGAGGTGTGGAATCTTCTTGGAACAGCCAAAAGAATTGCATTGTAAATTGGGAATAGGTGGTGTCTTATCCCTCCCACTATGTTGAGAGAGGGCTGTTCAGTGTT